GTATTCTTTCCAGCAAAACACCGACTTGAGTCCGGTGACAGAGGAATTTAATGCCCCCCTACGCCAAATTGCTTGTACGATGCGCCTGAAAATCATGAAAGGATGTCAAAACAGAGAGACTGTACTGGCGACGAATGTGTTCATTAAAACAAATAAAATGAAGGTATTTTCATCAGCGGGTTAAAATCAGTCATTTTACAGTGTCTAAATGAGGTTAAATTGAGGAATTGCACGGTTTTTATTGATTACGACCACCTTTTGAAAGCCTGTTCACAGCTCATCAGCACCGAAATCGAGGGGCAAATCGTTGATTCATTTAAAAGCGACGGGGTCAAATTTAACCAAACAACATCAAACAACAGAACGAATCTGCACCACTGCACTCGGGAACCGTCTCGATCAGCTTGTTCTGTGAATTTTTATTTCTTTTAAAGACCCGAAAAGCTGTGCCGGTGTCAGCCGAGCGATCTCTCATTACACGCAGCGAGTTTACGGCTGTGTGCCGGGTTGCCGTGGCAACCGGGTGATCGAGCTCCGAGATTTCCTTCGCTCGAACAGTGAGGCCTGACGGGGCCCGGATTCGTGAGCAGAACCAAAACAGGATTCCTACCCTGTTTAACTTATATGAACCTCTCTTGGCCACCGACTCATTCAGAACTCAGACATGCAGAACTATTCCTACTAAATGTTAAAAGTTGGATTCAAAATGAGTTAAAAGAGGGGTAGACATGGAGCACAGGTACCTTGAGAAACAGCACATACATGAGCAAACAGTGCCATTAGGTTTACATTAACATGCAGCCTCCTTCATGTGGATATTCTCTAACACTTGTCATTCCATCAGAAACATGCAAGTCAAGAGAAAGCGTGCCGGTCATTAGCAGCACTTACAACGCAAACCAGATGCCAAAGCATAGCTGTTTGATCCGCTCCAGGTTTAACAACCAGAAAGAAATTATTTGCACGACTGTACAATGCTGCACTGCTCACACATGAAAGTTAAAGACCATACTGTGCTCTTAAGAATATTCTGACCTCACATTTGCTTATGCAAATTCCAATCATTCATTTTCTATCTGCTTCATCCAAGTCAGGGTCACAGGGGAGCCGAAGCCTATCCCTGCAAGCACCGGGTGCAAGGCAGGATACCCCCTGGATGGGACACCAGTCCATCACAGGGCACACACAGACACACACACTCACACCAGGAGCAAACTTCCCAAAAGCCAATTTAACCCACCAGCATGCCTTTGGACTTTGGGAGGAAACCCATGCAAACACAGGGAGAGGATAGAAACTCACAAGTACTCCAGGGCCAGAACAGAACCCAGGGCACTAGCACTGTAAGACATCAATGCTTACCACTGTACCAACCTCTATGAAAATATGTTCAAGATGAATGAACAATGCCTCTGTTAAAGAGACAGAGGCAGAACAATAAGCAGAACTGTGTAGCTGTGCAGACGACAGTACTGTGCTGTTAACACAATTTCTAGAAACTCGGGAAAAGATTCCTCTTTTGAAGTGGAATCCCGATATCGGATTTCACATATAAATTGAAACGGGTCCAGAACAAAATGAAGGACCTCTTGTAGGGCTGACTGATTTTTAAGTGGATTTCAGATAGAAGTACCTGCAAAACATAATCAGACTCAAGAGTCACTAGAGACTGACATGGCAGAATCACATTGTTCTCTATATCAGAGGTTATATATCTTGGCCCTGAGTGACTCCTGTGTCGACTAAGTTCTTAATCATAGGCTGCCTCATTTCAGCTCTATGTTGGGCACAATTTTTAAATTGTGCTTTCAGCTCTTAAAAAGCTGAAAGAGGTTTGCAATTGGTAAGAACCACATAGTCATCAGTGAGGTTTAGGCCAGCCCTCTCCCAGAAGGTACGAGGTGAAAACACTGACTCACTGTGTGAGCTGTCTGATACAGTACCATCCCCACCTGTTATGTTTCAATTACTAGAGATTGTAGTATACAGAATACCTGCAAAGCAGTTAGCTCACTTGACCCAGTTAAAACAGTTCTAATAAAGAGAAATACGAACACACTGGTTTCTGCGTAGCCTTGTTTCAAGGTCGCCCGGTTAAGGGGTAAACTAAAATGTTTTGTAAAAAAAAAACAGTAAGATAATAGCCGAAAGGCCGAAAGAAAATAATCAACTTTTTATTTTTATCAACTGTACTTTACACGGCTCGCTGAGGTTTCTCCCGTAACAGGTTTGCTTAATTTCCAAACCAATTCTCGCCCCTGGTGTCCTCTGAAGCACTTTACATGAAAACTGGGAGAATACAAGAAGTAAGCGGTCCTAGTTCTACAACGCCACTCTCCCGTAAACCCCAGATGTAAAGCGCACTTCAAGAGATAAATGATATGTTTTTATTATGAATCTGTTGATTATTTTGGCTTAATACCTCATCCACAAAGGTAAATGGTCTAATACTGCTCTGTCTATTCATGCTTTTAAAGTTGAATTCCTTTTTTATTTAACTTCTATGAGAAATTCAAAGAATCAAAAGGAAAGACATACTGTACACTGGAAATACGTAAAAACTATCATTTTTAGTTTTTACAATTGTGAATTCCTCTGGCTGTGAAGTGTCTATTTCTGTATCCATTTTAATATTCTGTCTCCTTTTATTTCTGGTAAAAAAATAATAAAAAGCGCACTTCAAGAGGACACTTAAGAGACAATATACTAACATTAAAAAGTATACACACTAACTGAAGGAATACGGTAACTTCACGTATTCGTGGTAGTATAAGTTAAGGGGGTATTGGTTTAAAACAGATAAAATCAATGACTGACACTAAATTATCACAAGGTGCATTTAAAGGATTACACAGAGAACTGCTGTCTCATCTCGCACACCCATTTCAGTTTTCAAATAAACTGATTTAAGTAAGAAAAACTCTCCCAGGTCAATCAGGAAGCAAGAAACGGCCACTCGTCAGGTTCCCAGGGGATTTAAAGAAATACAGTTCACGGATCATTACATAAAATAGTGATTTTGCTTTTATAAGGTTAAACCTTTACCAGTACTGTCAAGCATTCCGTGTTCACAGAAGGTAATCCCCAATCGCCTTTCCAGCAGTACAACTCCATGGTGGCAGCCATCTTGTCTCTCCCGAGTAACCTTTCACCCGGAACTTCTCACCGGCAATATCGCTTCTTACAACCCCACGCGAGTTGTAGCTTTAAGTCCGAACACCCTTTCTGTTGACAGAAAGCCGTAATGCGTTTGGAAAATTGAAAGTATCCACATTAAACTTTTCAAGAGTATCACAGAAATGTTTTTTTTAAACACTATCATGCTAGATTCGCGCTTTGAAAGAAATGAACAAAAACAGTAATAAAGATGTCAGTTGTCAATAAAGATCTTCGTGTAAAATTGAGAAATACATATTTTAAAACTGTTCTACGAAGTCTAACTGTCTAACTTCACTATTAGTTTCTTAAAAAAGATAATATCTGTTAAGATTATATTTAAATACAATTTTTTTAAACTGATGATAAACGGGTTTATAGCTGTTGTTATATGGTGCATCTTTAAATCTTGTTATTATTGTTAATGACCGACTACTTCTTTGAACAGTTATTGTGGGTTAAAATGGCTGTATTGATATGCTGGGTTTTTTTTGTTGCAATTAGTAGTTGGCACAAAGAAAAAGAAAACTATCAAAAACTATCCAGCCAGACACTAGTTTTAACGATTCACAGGAATTGGAAGTGTCCGGATCGGTTTTAGTGTGAATTCCAGAGAGTATATACATAGGCTTACGAAATTTACCAAGAAATGGAATATTCCAGAAAGTGAGGCCTGGGCTGGGGGGACGAGGTGTTTATCCTTCAAAGGCATCCTGGCCAGTGACGCATACAATTTGAATTCTGTGTTGTACACTCTCACTCATATGTTCAGCAACCAGTACAAGCACATCATTTTACTGTTTCTGCCCGGGACAGGGGTAAATACAATTAAAAACACAGAAGACAGCTCAGGACAGGACACTTCTCATGTCCAAGAGAAGAAAAAAACATTCCTATTTAAAAAAACAAAAATTTGTTTGACTTGTTTACTCCTTTAATTAAGCAATGAAAAAAATCAGCAATGAAAATGGCATCACCCTTTTCACCTTTTAAATGCCTGATTGACATTTTTCTCCACTCTCAAAGCTCAAGTCTCTGATGATTTACATTTGATTTTAATTTTAGTTTAGTAATTTTAATTTTTGCTTATGAGGTGTATTGCTCACTCACTTTTTTTTAGTTATTGTATGTTGTACGATTTTTTTGTGCTGCAGCGGTTTAGCTATATTTCATCAGACTGGACACTTATAATTATATGAAGCTGCAGGTGGCCCGGTGGGGCAGGGGTCAGCATTGCTGTCTTGCAGTGCTGGGCCCCTGAATTTTCTCTGGATCTGGGATACTGTCTGTGTGGAGTTTGTATGTTCTCCCTGTATTCACATGGGTTTCCTCCCACAGTCCAAAGACATACTGGCAGGTTTAATTGGCTTCTGAGAAACTGGCCCTGGTGTGAGTGTGTGTTCCCTGTGATGGACTGGCGTCCCAATCAGGGTGTACCCTGCCTTGTGCCCAGTGCTCCCCCCATGACCTTGTATTGGATAAACTGGATTGAAAAGGGAAGCTATTATACTGCTCTGTCCTGTGAAACTACAGCGCAGTCCTACCACGGGAGAGCCAAAATCCTGAAGATTTGAGACAGAACCCACACTCTGCAATGACTTGGAAACAGTTGGACTTGAGAGCAAATACAGTATGTCACTAATTGATTCTGTTTAAGTTGACAAGCACTCTTGCAAAAGCAATAGCAGAAGAACCCTGTGGCTCTCCAGCTCCTGGAGTGAGGATTATGCTTTGCAGAGCTTTACACTTCGGCAGCAATAATGGATTTTCAATGTGGCTTGGGTATAAAAGATTTATTTAATTGAAAGCCTTACAAATGAATCCAATGCCGTAGGAGATAATTATTCTAGATATATTGATACTGTGAATTGCATGTTTTAAGTGATGAGGCTCATTTTTCCTCAGCCATAGTGATCCTCTCCCCTAAGGTGGCTGGGCCTGGCTGGGTTGTTGTTCCACATTCACCAATTAGCTAATGACTTAATTAGCTCATGTCTTAATTCCAGGAGTAAGACCTGTACTGTCTTTCGGAGCGCTGCTGCACTTGTTGTCTGTGGTCTCTCTTTCTCCAGACGCCAGAGAAACAGCTTCTTTCATTCCGAATGGTGAGGTCAAAGGGTGCTCTTAATGAACACGGCAGCGTTGCTGTTTACGTTGCCACAGGAGGACTGACCTGCTTGCAGCTGCTGGAAGACCCCTTCTGCTTGACACCAACATGATGACTGAAGTGAAACAGCAGGATCAGTGGCTTTCCTGACATCTCGGGCCCCCGGTTTGGTTCCAGAGAACCAAACAGGAGAGTGACGTCACTCTGAATCCCATTCCCCCCCCCTCGCAGGCAACATGGCCTCGCGCACATAAATCATCGCCTGACTTGATTTCAAAGTCTGGAAAGAAAAGCTTCCCTGCTCTCTCTCCCTCCTCCTGAAAGGGGAAGATTTACGACTCGACGCCGGAGGTCATGGAACATTTGTTTTTCGAGAGGATGAGGTCATAGCGAAGCTGCCAATATTTTAAGTGAGTGTGTGTGTGTTAGGTGTGTGTGTGTGAAGGGGGGGGTTTGCAGTGTTTGTTTCCTCATCCAACAGACCCAGATCCTTCTCCGGGCCATGTTTCTCCAACGCTCTCGAAAAGGGAAAGACCGAGGACCTTACGTTTGAGAGAAGGGGAAACATCTCGGCAGTTAAAACAGTTGTCCGTCCTTGTGGAAAATTAAGTAATCCCAGACATCAGTGTGATTTATTAACGTTTCCTCCTCTGTTTCAAACAGCAGCCATGATAGATGGGTTCCAGCTGTATTCCAACTACACTCGTATACAATTATTATAGCACCTCTCCTCCATCAGTGGTCATTACTCTTCCTTTTTCTAAAAAATGGGAAAAGGGAAAACCATTTTATTTTTGTTCTGTTTTGAAAAACGAGCTAAACAATGATTAAAAAAAAGGATACTGCAACCGTTAAAGGATTCTTCAGATCAACGAATTTTGTCAGTTTTCCAATTCAGAGTATTTTCTAGCACACGTCATTTCATTTTCAAACTTCAGTTGAGTGAAAACAAAAGGAGGGCTGTCTGGTATCTCGAGATAGGATCAGCGAACACGGCCGGCGCGTCCAAACTGAATGAACGAGTGCTTTCTTTGAATTTCTGCCTTCTTGCAAAGTCACCCCAACAGCTGGGAACATCTGGTCCCCACCGCGGCTGGAGGGGATGACATCACTCATCGCTGCTGCAGAGCCGCCTGGTTTCAACGTTGATAAGGAGTCCTTCCTGCAGTCCAGGCATGATGGGAACCAATCACACTTCGTGCAAAACACAGCATGGAAACAGGCTCAGCTCTCACTCCCACCACCCCCACCTGAAGGCTGGTTATTGTGATGGAGCTGTAATAAAACCTCCAGCAATGTTTCATTTCATAGTAGACAGCCACAATAACTCATGTAACAGGGCATCTTTTCAGCAGTGATGCTCATATTGACCAAAACACAATCAACACCTCCCTGAATCACAGCACACAGTGTAACCTCACCAGAGACATTACAGTCTGCCTAACTTTATACATATACCATACTTTTGGACACCAAGCATTAGGCTGTGGTTCTAGGGCAGCTGCAGCAGCTGTTTTGACATGAAACTGCTTTGAATGCGAGAGATTCCGTACAAATGCAAGCACTGGAGGGAAAAGGGAGTGATTATTGCACCGGTCTACATGTCAGACACAAACTGAGCACTGGGAACATGATCACCACCAGGTGCATTGCTGTCCTGTAACAGTGCTGCCTGAATCAGTACCAGTGTCCTGCTTAGGGTCTGGTATCTGGCAGATGTACTCCATCTCTTTAAGATGTACCTCTGCAGATTCTTTCTCCACGGCCTGAGACTGTGCACGATTTAAAAAGAGACAGGAAACGTACTGGTTGCCTTTCAACGAGGAGAAAAGTAAACAGCCCCTATAATAAGGCAAAGAGGCACCGGATCGGGCATTTATTCAAATACAAATTCCGCCTTCAGAAACTGTCGTCTCCTACGATCAGGAAACATGGAGCGCAGGCTTGGTATAAAAAAATGAGAACAGTGCCCCCTTCTGGCCTCAGCCCCGTAATTACAGCTCGCTGGTGATGGAGCACCGTGCCCTGTCACGTTCCAAAAAAACCTGCAGGACGTCGAGCGTGGCTGAGTGCCTTCTTCACTTCCTCCGGCCGCGCGGCTCGAACTGCAGGCTGGCGTACTGCACCGCCTCCTCGACCTGTCAATCAAACACACGCAGGACCTTTGGTGGCACCGAGGAGAATACAAGGACAGACCTCAGCCCGCGAGTTTTTTCGTAAAAGAAAATCCCAGCAGCGATAAACGATCTAAAATGAGGCTGGTCAGTTTTGCCTGTCGTGAGAGACGGAGGCGGCCAGCTCTCACCTGTGACGCTCCGTGCTGGGCCGTGCTCCGGGCAGAGACCGCTCGCCTCTTGCCTGCGGACAGGAAACAGGCTGGTTAGCCGACCGGCGGCGGTTTATGCCCTCTGCCTCTCAGAAATAACATTCATTCTGTCGCTCATTTAGTCTGAGCGGAGTGGCCTAACCGGGCTTCCTGGTGCTGTAATCAAATGTCAGTGTTTGTCTTGTCGAACGAACTTCTTAAGTTCTTTCCATTCAAGGAAAAAAAAAAGCCCCAGACCCCAGTCATTTATCAAAGAGGGCACGGGACTAAGACGAGTCGGGGTTTTATTTTTTGAGGGTTTAATGACAACCGTATGACGGGCCGTCCAATATTAACACCGCTAGATCCGTGTAGCGGTATTCATATTGTAACGCTTACGGCCGACAGGTACTGTGTAAGAGCCGGCGTGGGCCGACCTAATGCGGCAAGGGCGCCCGCCTGAGCCCCCGTTGCGTTACGATATTAATATCCTTCGGAATGTATTCGCATTCGCGTTCTTTAAACGTCAGAGACCGATAAGGTCTAAAAAACACTCGAAATACTGTGCGCCAGAATCAGTAGGGAGCATACACCCCCCCAGTGTATTAGGTTTAAAGGAATACGACAAAACGTTCTGTTTTGGAGAAAGCCGCCTCCGCTGGGCGCAGCGCTGCGGTTATACAGTACCGGCAGCCTCGCTCACCTGACCCGAGTCTTCTGTGGACAGCGCACGCCGCGAGGACGGTCCAGGTCAGCGCGAGGAGGGCCGAGGCGCCCGCGAGAGCCGCGGTCAGGGCCGGGCAGTGTCCGGGTCCGCCTGCAGAGACGATGGACAGTCGGTCCTCCAGAATAGACACGCAAGCCCTTGAACTCTAAGCCTTTCTTCACGGCTCTGACTAGAATTAATGACCCTTTAGTAGCAATCTGGTGATGCTTAACTACATATTTAAGTGATGCCTCCGCCCTGTAGTTCGTAGTGCCGCCAAATTCGAATCGAAACTCTCTGTACTCTTCGCTGCCAGCTGTCTTTAATAAAAAGGAGGGCAACAAGCAGAACCTCTTCAGATTGGGGCGGTCAGCTGCTTCTCCGTCCAACCTGCGCGTCCCCCGGCGCCCTGCTCAGCTGCGGCCACAAGCCGTCGGTTTAGCAGGAAGGACGTCAGTCAATACAGAAGGCAGCGAGTGTATCGTTTCCACTGGCTGTAGCTGTTTAACTGTCCTGTAGCTGTTTGTATCTGTGAATCGCATTATAAAAATGAAAATGGCTGACACAGACGGCAGTCTGTCAAGCGAGTTCGCGTATCTGCAATGTGTTTCCATCAGACGGAATAATATTATTCACTTTTTAAGCCATGTGTGCCTTCTGGCGGTGTGAAGTCAGATCAAACAGAAGCACCGTGCAGACACGTGCGAGGCGCTCAGGTTCTCACCCGCGCGGACCGTTTTGCTCATGTTACTTCCGCTTCCTGTCTCCACCACGCAGGTGATCGGAACTCCGCTGCGCCAGGTCTGGGCCGGGACGGTGAGCAGGTTCTTGACGGATCCCGGAGCGCCGTCTTTCCCGCGGTCGGGAAATGCGGGGGGCTCCGTGAAGCCCGGCTCGATCCGCCCGGACACCCGCCAGTACAGCCGGACCCGCTCGGGGTCCGCGCCGAACACCAGACACAGCAGGAGCGCTGGGGCTGCAGGCGGCGGCTCGGGGCCGGGGGGCGCGAGCACAGCCATGGAGAGGGGAGCCGGGGGTCGCCCTGCAGAGATCAACAGGAGGGCCGGTCAATTCTCACCCCGGGAGGAATGAGGCAGAGGAGCAGTCTTCTCCCCGTGAACATCATGACAAACCCGCCCATCGGATGAGACGTAAAACCGAGGTCCTGACTCACTATGGTCATTACAAATCCCAGGGCGTTTCTCGATAAGAGTAGGGGTGTTACCCCGGTATCCTGGCCAAATTTCCCCCCTGGCCTTTACCCATCATGACCTCCTAATAACCCCCCTCTCTGAACTGGCTTCATCACTCTGCTCTCCTCCCCACTGAGAGCTGGTGTGTGGGGAGCGGACTGGAGCATCATCCAGGTGGGGCTGCACACTGGTGCTGGTGGAGGGGATCCCCATGACCTGTAAAGCGCTTTGAGGGGTGTGTCCAGAAAAGCGCTATATCATTGTTATTATTACTAATCCTTTTATGTTTTATTAGTCTTTTTATAAGGCATAAACATACACATGTTGCAAGCTGACAACACAGTGACAACGTCAAATGAACAGAGCAGAACAACACAGTCAGGCTGAAAAGTGTTGATGTTGGTGTGAGGGCGGCAGAGTGGCGTTACTTACCCGTTACGATCAACGACGACCCATTCCCGAAATAGACCAGTTCGCCGGAGCTGAAGGCGCAGTAGAAGGTGCCGGAGTCGGAGGACGCGGCGCCGGTGATGTTGAGGAAGCAGACCGCGCCCCCGCGGCCGTCCCGGGAGCGCGCCTCGCCGTCTTTGTTGGGGTAAGGCCTGAGCGCGCCCCCGCTTCTCACTTGCAGCCACCAGACGGTGTAGCAGCCGCCGGACATGCCCGTCACGTCACAGGCCAGAGCGGCCACGCCCCCCTCCTCCACTCTGACCAGCCGAGGGTACTGGAATACCACCGGGCCTATTGCTGGGAGCGCACAGACAGAGGCGCCTTTAAAGACTGGCTGCCTAGCGCAGTCTTTTGTTAGGGCATGCAGACAAAGCAGATATTATATAACAAGAGCAGTGTGATGAAATAGGTATTTGTCAATAGATGGGGGGTGGTGCCTATTGGATCTGGATGATGACGATGATGAAGAGGACTTGATGAAGGTGACGCGGCTTCGAAAACATAAATTATGTTTGTTAGACCCTGAAACGGGCTCTTTGTCAGTCGTTCTGGACAAAATTAAAATTCAACCCGGTCAAACGAAACGCTGAAAAACCTCGCAGTAATAATTGAGTACTTTGTAGAGGCTTCTGTACTATAGCTCCTGTTCGGAAATTTAGCACTGAGCTGAAGACGGGGCTTCCGGTTATTTTATGAGTGCCATTTTAAAAAGCTTTCTTAACACGATCACAAGTAAAGGCATAAAATAGCCCTTCTCAGCGACATTTACGCATTTTTCCTGCGTATTGCCACGTTAGTATGATTTCCCATGTTGTCATTTTTACAGTCAAAACCGCATATTTGAAATCAAGCTACACGTAACGACCACAAACATGTAAGCCTATGTATATATATTTATAATACACAGTATGTACATCTTCGCCAAACAAGAGCATAATCAAAAAGAGACTATTTTCGAACAAAAAAAATGGGTGTTACCACAAGACAACCCAGGTCAAGACAACGTGTTAACATTTAGAATTAAGATGACAACAGGGTGTCGTTAAGAGGCAACATCACTGTTTGTCTGCACACAGTTGCACTCATTGATGGACTAAGGGAAAATTATTTTTTATGCTATCGTGCATATTAGTTCATTTGAATTAACCCGTATCTTCCACACCCATATAATCACGAAAACCAAAATCCCAAATCTGAAAACGACTTTGCCTTTCAGAAGTATTCGAAAAACCAAAGTCATGGAAGACGCATGTGAAAAATGAACCAAAAGTTTTTAAATGTTCATTAAATATCATTAGATCCTACTTATAGAGATGCGGCGGGTCATTTAATAAAACCTTTTAATTGATGTGCAAAGAATCAAATGGTCACTGCTGAACAAATATACGACTTATTCGGTATTGTAATCCGTCAAAATAAATCGGACGTTATTTTTATTTCAACATCCAACATAAATTGCTCACTGTATTTTACTACCGTATAAACATAAGTCTCTTTGGATAAAATCCTCCAGCAGTGAAATTAATGTTGATTGCCGACTAACAGAAAACAAATGACATATTCGGTTTTAGCCCAAAAACGCGCATTGTACGTACAGTATATACTTTATCACGTGGAAAATTGTACTGCATTATACAGGTTTTTGTTAAGGAATTCAAACCAAGCAGATATTTGATTAAAGATCAGGGTGATACGATGTCTATTTGTCAATAGACAAAGTGAACCGACATGGCTCTGTGAAAAAGGCGGTTACACATTTTAATTAATTACTCATGCGCCAGATGTACGGACTAACGCATATTTCATGACGGCTGAGCTCTTTTCTTAATTGAACCCTTAACTGATGTACCACTCTCACAAGTTACTGGACTGTTAAACTCTGTAGGTGTTTCATTGCTCAAAGCCGAGCTATTGAGTTCCCAAACACTCTGTGCTTTCAGTTGTGTTACTGGGAGCCCAGGAGCAGGAAAGCCGCTTTGCGAGAGTTCAGCATAAGGGCCGAGGTCTCTCTCTCTCACTGGTCTACATCGCTTCTACAGTACCTGTTATATTTATTTTCGGAAAACGTGCGAATGTGTATTGAACTCTTGGGAAGCGCAGCTTTCGAGTTGTACTTGTTTTTGTTTCCACATCAGCCTAAATAAGGCTTATTTATTAAGGATGAAAGTGATATCAGATCGTTATTAACAGGTGGTGGGGCTCGTAAGCGAAATGGCAAAGCCGTGTTATAAAAAGGCGCAAAATTCGGTCCCCTCACCCGGAGCAGCCCCGAGCGCCAGGATGCAGGCGAGGAGGAGTCCGCGCCGGGGCTCGCGCATGGCGGGGTCCTGCAGCAGCCGGGGAGCCGCGCGCTGAGGTCGCCCGAGCTGAGCGCGCTCCCCCCACCAGCGAGTCCAACAGGTCGGCCGGGCGCTCGCGTCTCTGCCCACAGCGCCCGTTGCCTGGAGACCAGAAGACGAAGGAAATCGCCTGTGTAAACCACAGAAAACAGTCAAAAAAACATTTCCACATTTTGGTACTACTGATAATAACAACAGACGATAATTAGGGCACACGTGTTGCGTAATGGTTAGGAGTCTTGATCGGAAGAGGTGGGTTCGAATCTTTCAGTAACATGCTTTTCTTTTTGTAAAAAGTGTAGAAAAAAATTGTATTTGCAAATTTTTACAGGTCGTCTTTGGAAATGAGAATTTATTTGGTTGACTCATTTGGTTAAAAATGTTTTACGCAGTTTATTTGTATATTAAGAATTTAAAATGATTTAGATTGTTATTAACAATTGTGATCTTCAGAACATCTTTCACAGAAAAAAAAAGATAATCGACTCATTTGGTTAAAAATGTTTTACGCAGTGTATTTGTATATTAATATTTTTAATAATCATTTCAAATTATTTAGATTGTTATTAACAATTGTGATCTCCAGAACATCTTTCACAGAAAAAAAAAATATATTTGATCAACTGGAAGGGGTATATAAAGGCATTTTTGGTTCAACCGCATGATTTCAACACATCTTACTCGCGTAGAGTAAGAGTCCATTTCCACTGGACATGTTAACAAAAGGTGAATTTCGATCCCTCCTTTTTAATTACTTTTTAACGGTATATTTTTTTTAATCTAAAATGACCAGAATGATTTCTTTGGGATCTGCGGGGATTAGAACTTGAAAAGAAGTTGGGAATTTGTAAAGATGCAGGAGTACAGACGTTCGAGCCACAAACAGAAACAGCGCCGACTGTGATTTTACAGGCTTCCCGATGGATTTCGCTGAGGATCGGAATTAAAAGTTCTGATTTGGGGACCAGTTGGTGGACTGATATTGACGCGATTTCGCTTAATTTTGAAAATAGTGCGCTCCAAAGCCGATTTCCATCTGTAGTCCCAAACGCAAAGGAGTTACATCCCACTGCTGATGAGCCATGCGCTTGATTCGCCTCACGCGTTAGGGAAATAAACTGTACCTTTTTTATACGCTTGTAGTCTATTTAAAATTCACGAAGGTCTGTGTCGGGTTTTCAGTGAGCAGCCTTTCATTGAGATCGACGCTCGCAACGGAAGGAGAACTTAGTGAGCTGAACTCCTTGTGCCCTGATAACTGTTGATACAATGTACCGGAAAGCAATTCCTACCGATTTTACTGCAGGCAAACGCTAGCCTTCGTATAGCGCAGATGAGTGGTGAGCGAGGTGACAACCACATCATAATTAAACAGAAGCGAGTACTGTAGGTGGGCGGACAAATGTTTAGGCAGGTGATTATTTATTTTGGAAATGCTATGACCGTGTACTCAATAAAATAAAATTAAAAAGAAATAACAATAGGTCTAGCTATTAGGTACAGAGGAGAAGGCGATAAAAACTCTGCTCTAGAAAACGGATACAAGCCTAACTGCCTCTTCTCACCAGCTGTTGTTAAAGCTCTCTGATATATGGAACCGAGTCGGTTCCGCTGCTGTTGAAGTTCCGGTGATACAGCTAACCGGACTGGACCGCAGCTCTGACATCTCAGCATCAGCTGAACTTTTACGGACGTTAGATAAGTACTGTATATTACAGTTAAAAAAGCGTCGGCTGTAGCATTATTGTTTTTAATTAAGATTGGATTACAATGACCAAATCTAAATAAATGCAACACTCTTTCACAATTTCTGCAATTTCCATTGCGCTACGTTTGAATGTCTCCTGTGTTCTTTTCGAAATTAATGACCTTAGTTGAACAAAACCGAGAAAATGCTTAAGAATTTAATCTTCAAATTGTTTATATATACATATTCCTATTTATTTATTATAGTGTATTCCTATAATAATAAAGCGAAGGGTTTTAAATTTGCGCCGTAAGATTGAGGTGTCATGAGGAACTGTTGTAACAGCGCCATACTCAATTAGACGTTCACGGCCACGGAAAAGCACGAAGACTTGAAATTGTGTAATAAATACTTACCACAGAGGTAAAGGCGGCGTTCTCTATCACAGAGCGACAAGTAGCTTTAAAACGATGCTCCGTTGTGGTCGTGCAGACGGACGCCGAGGCAAATGAGCACCTGTACACGAAAAACACGCCCCGTGGCCGCTTTCGGCTTTTGGTCACAGAGAACCGGCGAGGTAAAAAAGCAACAAGCGTGTGGGCGCAATCCAAAAAGAGACAGTTGTGCGGAGAAAGGGGAGATTGGATTTAGGTCACTGAGCGGTAAGAGGCAGCGTTGTGAAAACAAGCCTCTCTTGAGGCCAGCAGTGACGCCTCCGAGGAAGGCCGGGCCGCCAGACCCCGCTAAATAACAAAGCGCGGGCTGAATCTGGAAACCGCAGCCGCTTGCGACACGCTGCTGTCCCAGAATGAAGTTTCCGAGCTCTTTTTTTTTTATTATTTCCTGACGTGATATGTGATTTCGGGCGAAATAAGACCGCGCGGGGCTCGATGACATTTGAGTAAACGGGTGAGCAGCCGGACACGCGGGGGACGCGTGATTTTCCGGAGAACTGGGCCGGAGAGTTTCCACGCGGCTCCGATCTGCGAGGGAAGCTCGTTCGCTATCACAGTGAAAGCGATAGCTGCCAAGTTCAGTGTTAACAGGACACACCAGTCCCCCGACTAGTAACAGCCGTGTTATTACAGTCGATCAGAAAAGCCAGCCTTCTTCGAAGTTTTTATTTAAAGGCGTTTTTGTTCTGATACCCGTGACAGTAAATCTGCAGAAGACCGATTGATCCCCAAATTTCAACCTTATCCACCGTCTATTTTCTCATCGTTTCTTCCAACTCAGTGCCGGGCGCAAGGCGGTGCACACCCTGGACGGGACACCAGTCCATCACAGACCTATTGAACCGCCGAATGAATTTTGATTAAAATCATATTTGTCCTTTTCAGAATACCAAAAACCTTTATTACGATCGTTGTATCTTACAGCTCCACTGTGATTAAATGGAGAAAATCAAATAAACTATTTGATAGTGAACTATTATCGCCCTCCTCCCCACCTCGCAACCTTCGCTCTTCTATTTCTGCCCTCCTTACTGTCCCCCCAGCCTGTCTACATTGTACGGGTGACAGCCATTACTTAGTACCACCATCCACGGTCTCCTCTGTATATTGACATTGTTTTTTATCTGGTGTATTCTTTTTATTTATTGTTGTTGTCATTCTGTAAAGTGCTTTGAGAAGCCGCCTTTAAAGGCGCAATATAAAATAAAGCTTATTAGTATTGTTATTATTAGTATTATTATTTCCTGCCACAAAGACATTCTAAGGATTAGACAGAGCTCACTATAGGAGGGGTAGTGACGTTCTGATTTCTTCTAAAGATGAAGAAATGTTTCATCCGAGTTCCCAAGCGGATAACCAGCAGGATCCAGGCACGTGGTGAAAACGGAAATTTCATGAAGGGGTGCTGAATGTAGAGGAGGGAGAATCCCGAATCCCTTTTCTCCATCGAGAGACACAGGAGTCTGGAAGGAGCCGCCATGTCAAATTGTCCACAACTGTGACACTGGACAGATCCAGGACTGGATTACTAGTAACCAACTGGCAAGATGAACCGAAAATGGTCTCCGAGGAACTAGGAACCGTTACAAACGAGGAGATCCATGCGGTATTCCCATCCCGTTTGGTTGTTAATATTTAATTGATCCCAGGATCCCTTACAGCTATTCCCTGAACGGGTTTGATTTCAACAACATGACTGGGTAACGTGTTCTATACTCCCACCACTCTTTGGGTAAAGAAATGCCTCCTGATCTGAGTGGGGTTTCTCATCCAGCTCACATTGCCATCAGTGGAGCAGTTTAGTGGCATTTTCCACCCTTTCCAGAGGAGCTGAGGACCCACGTCAGCATTGCTGCCTCACAGTGCTGAGGCCCTGGGTTCAAATCAGTGCCTGGAGTGCTGTCTGTGTGGAGTTTGCATGCTCTCCCAGTGTTTGTGTGTGTTTCCTCCAGGTGCTCCAGTTTCCTCCCACAGTCTAAAAGACATGCTGGCAGCTTAATTGGCTTCTGGAAAAACTGGCCGTGGTGTGAGTGTGTCTGTGTTTGTGTGTGCCCTGTGATGGACTGACGTCCTGTCCAGGGTGTGTCCAGTCTTGGATGAATGGACATAAAGCCACCAGGTCAGCAGGTGTGAGCCTGGCCAGTACCTGGATGGGAGACTCCTGGGGAAAACTAAGGCTGCTGCTGGAAGAGGTGTTAGTGGGACCAGTAGGGGGCGTTCACTCTGCAGTCTGTGTGGGTCCTAATGCCCCAGTATAGTGACGGGGACACTAAACTGTAAAAAAGGCTTTGCCCTTCAGATGAGACATCAAACTGAGGTCCTGAAACCTTTCTCGAAAAGAGTAGGGGTGTTACCCTGGTGTCCTGGCCTTTACCAGTCATGGCCTCCTAATAATCCCCCTCTCTGAACTGGCTTCATC